GATGACAGTATTAAAACAAAAAAGAAGAACTAAAAAATGTAGACATAGATTTCTCATATGAAGAAGAAGTCAAGGTGATATAAAGAAATAAAAGACTGGTTTAAAGTTAGAAAAATAAGGGTAAATATTAAGGTAACTACAGAGGAAACTAACAATCTGACACTTCAAAATAAAAAACGAGAAACATAAAGACTCAGCAAATACAAAATCAACAACAATGAAAAAGATGAAAAGAAAATACAGAAAGAAAAACGACTCAGCACAAAAAATTAAGTGGAACAAAGAAACTGTCAACAACACACAAAAAAAAGACATCAAAATGATAGCACTAAACTCGTACCTATCAATAATCACGCTGAATGTAAATGGACTAAATGCATCAATAAAGAGACAGAGAGTGGCAGAATGGATTAAAAAAACACGATCCATCTATACACTGCCTGCAAAAGATACACCTTAGACACAAACAAACTAAAATGCTAAGGATGGAAAAAAATATATCAACAAACAACACTCAAAAAAGAGCAGGAGTGGCAATATTAATCTCTGACAAGATAGACTTTAAAGTAAAATCCACCACAAAGGATCAGGAAGGACACTATATAATGATTAAAGAGTCAGTACACCAGGAGGACATAACTATAATAAATATTTACACACCCAACGACAGGGCTCCAAAATACATAAACTCTAACAGCAATGAAAAGAGAGGTAGACAGCTCCACAATAATAGTAGGAGACTTCAACACACCACTTTCGGTGAAGTACAGAACATCCAGAAGGAAGCTCAATAAAGACACGGGGATCTAAATGCCACAGTGAACCAACTTAATCTCACAGACGTATACCCAACACTCCACCCAGCAGCAGCCAAGTATACTTTCTTTTCCAACGCATATGAAACATTCTCCAGAATAGGCCACATATTAGGCCGTAAAGCAAGCCTTAACAGAATCCAAAGCATCAAAATATTACAAAGCATCTTTTCTGACCATAAAGCCATAAAAGTAGAAATCAATAGCAGAAAAAGCAAGGGAAAACAAATCGAACACATGGAAACTGAACAACACCTTGCTCAAAAACTACTGGGTTACAGAAGAAATTAAGGATGGAATAAAGAAATTCACAGAATCAAATGAGAATGAAAACACTTCCTATCAGAACTGTTGGGACACAGCAGAAGTAGTGCTCAGAGGTCAGTTTATAGCAATAAATGCACACATCCAAAAAGATGAAAGGCCAAAATCAAAACATTAACCCTACAACTTGAACAAGTAGAAAGAGAGCAGCAAAAGAAGCCCTTAGGCGGCAGAAGAAAGGAAATAATAAGAATTAGAGCAGAATTAAATGCAATAGAGAATAGAAAAACAATTGAAAGAATTAACAAGACCAAAAGCTGTTTCTCTGAAAAGATCAACAAAATTGATATACCATTGGCCAAACTGACAAAAGAAAAACAGAAGAGGAAGCAAATAACCGGAATAAGAAATGAGTTGGGTGAGATCACAGCAGACCCAACTGAAATTAAAAGAATCATAACAGAATACTATGAAAAAGTATTTGAAAACCTAGAGGAAATGGACAAATTTATAGAAACTCACTACCTACCTAAACTAACACAAACAGATGTAGAACAACTAAATAAACCTGTAACAAAAGAAGAGATTGAAAAGATAATTAAAACACTGCCAACAACAACAACAAAAAAAGCCCTGGCCTGGTTGCATCTGAGAATTGTACCAAACTTTCAGAGAAGAATTAACACCACTACTACTAAAGGTATTTCAGAGCATAGAAAAGGATGGAATACTCCCAAACTCATTCTATGAAGCCAGCTTAACCCTGATACCAAAAGAAGATAAAGACATCACAAAAAAAGAAAATTACAGACCAGTATTCCTCATGAACATTGACACAAAAATCCTCAGCAAAATTCTAGCCAATAGAATTCAACAACATATCAAAAAAATAATTCACCATGATCAAGTGAGATTCATACCAGGTATGCAGGGATGGTACTACATTAGAAAACAATCAATGTAATCCATCACATGAATAAAACAAAAAACAAGAACCACATAATCATTATCCTAGAGAAATAAGAGCTGTCACACAAATAGATACACGCAGACACGTATTCATTGCAGCACTGTTTACGACAGCCAAAAGATGGAAACAACCAAGGTGCTTATCAACGGCCGAGTGGATAAACAAATTATGGTATGTTCATTCACACAATGGAATACTATGCAACCATAAAGAACAATGATGAATCTGTGAAACATAAGATGGAGGAATCTGGAAGACATTCTTGTGAGAGAATTTAGTCAGTCGCAAAAGGACAAATGCTGTAATATACCACTATTATAAGAACTCAAGAAAAGGTTTAAACACAGAAGAAAACATTCTTTGATGGTTATGAGGGTGGTGAGGGAGGGAGCGGGTATTCGCTAACTAGGTAGTAGACAAGAATTATTTTAGGCAAAGGGAAGGACAACACACACTACAGGGGAAGTCAGCACAACTGGACTAAACCAAAGCTAAGAAGTTTCCTAAATACAACCAAACACTTCGAGGGACAGAGCAGCAGGGGCTTGGGTCTGGGGACCATGGTTTTAGGGGACATCTAGGTGAATTGGCATAACAAAGTTTATTAAGAAAATGTTCTGCATCCCACTTTGGTGAGTGGCGTCTGGGGTCTTAAAAGCTAGTGAGTGGCCATCTAAGATGCATCAACTGGTCCCAAGCCACCTGGAGCAAAGGAGAATGAAGAACACCAAAGACACAAGGAAATATTAGCCCAAGAGACAGAAAGGGCCACATAAACCAGAGACTTCCTCAGCCTGAGACCAGAAGAACTAGATGGTACCCAGCTCCCACCAATGACCGCCCTGACAGGGAACACAACAGAGAGTCCTTGACAGAGCAGCAGAAAAGTGGGATGCAGAACTCAAATTCTAGTAAAAAGACCAGGCTTAATGGTTTGACTGAGACTGGAGGGACCCTGGAAGACATGGCCCCCAGACTCTTTGTTAGCCCAAAACTAAAACCATTCCCGAGGCCAACTCTTCAGACAAAGATTAGACTGGACTATGGGACATAAAATGATACTCATGAAGAGTGTGCTTCTTAGCTCAAGTAGATAAATGAGACTAAATGGGCAGTTTCTGTCTGGAGGTGAGATGAGAAGATAGGGTTAGGAGCGGGTTGAATTAATACAGGAAATCTGGGGTGGAAGGAGGAGTGTGCTGTCACAGTGTAGGGAGAGCAACTAGGGTCACATAACAATGTATAAATTTTTGCATGAGAGACTGACTTGAATTGTAAACTTTCACTTAAAGCACAGTAAAAAACAAAAAAGAAATCAGATGATGTATTGCATTGGGCAAATCTACAAAAGACTTCTTTAAAGTGTTGAAAAGCAAGGATGGCACTTTGAGGACTAAGGTGAACCTGACCGAAGCCATGGTGTTTTCAGTTGCCTCACATGCATGTGAAACCTGGACAATGAATAAAGAAAACCAAACAAAAATTGACACCTTTGAATTATGGTGCTGGTGAAGAATATTGAATATACCTTGAACTGCCAGAAGAATGAACAAATGAACAAATCTGTCTTGGAAGAAGTATAGCCAGAATTCTCCTTAGAAGCGAGGATGGTGAGACTTTGTCTCATGTACTTTGGACATGTTATCAAGAGGGGCCAGTCCCTGGAGAAGGACATCATGCTTGTAGAAAAGGAAGACCATTGTCAAGATGGATTGACACACTGGCTGCAGCACTGGGCTCAAACATGGCAATGATTGTGAGGATGGCGCAGTGCTGGGCAGTGTGTCATTCTGTTGTGCATAGGGTCACTAGGAAGTAGAACTGGCCCAACAGCACCTAACAACAACAGCTGTGTATCCCACGTGGGTGTGGTCTAATTATTGTAGCTAGTTTACTTGATTTATGATGATATATTTTATTCGTTTTAATTGTCAGTGTCATGGATTGAATTGTGTCCTCCAAAAATATCTTCAACATGACTAGGCCATGATTCCTGGTATTGTGTGATTGTCCATCATTTTGTCATCTGATAATGATTTTCCAATATGTTGCAAATCCTATCCCTATGATGTTAATGAGATGGGATTAGCTGCCATTATGTTAATGAGACAGGAGCCAGTCTATAAGATTAGATTGTGTCTTAAATCAATGTCTTTTAAGATAGAGAGACGGGAGCAGAGAGACATGGGGACTTCATCCCACCAAGAAAGCAGCGCTAGGAGCAGAGCACGTCCTTTGGACCCGAGGTTCCTTCACTGAAAAGTTCCTAGTCCAGGAGAAGATTGATGACAAGGACCTTCTTCCAGAGTCAACAGAGAGGAAGACTTTCCCTGGAGCTGATGCCCTGAATTTTAACTGGTAGCCTACTAGACTGTGAGAGAAGAAATTTCTCTTTGTTATAGCCATCCACTTGTGGTATTTCTGTTACAGCAGCACTAGATAACTAAGACAGTCAGTTTAACAAATTTCAACACTCTTGATTAATAAATTTTCTTTGGCAACATTTTTCTTGTGTCTATCAAGTTTCTATATACAATGATGCATAAATACAATACTTGGAAACTTTTTAAAAATAAGGCTTATTTATAGATGAATTATTACAGTAAACCCCCCAGATTAGTATATTTTCCTCACTATCATGTCATCAAGAAGCCCTGGTTATGTAGTGGTTAATGCGCTCAGTTGCTAACCTAAAGGTCGTCGGTTAGAACCCACCAGCCACTCTGCGGGAGAAAGATGTGGCAATCTGCTTCCGAAAAGATTACAGCCTTGGAAACCCTATGGGGCAGTTCTATTCTGTACTATAGGTTTGTTATGAGTCAGAATTGACTCAACGGCAGTGTGGATCATATAATGTTATGACTTCAGGAGAGAGAAGAATAGTATTGGGCCATTTAACAATCCATGGGTAATAAGATAAAATTATACTAATTTTTTTTCTTTATACCTAGAGAATGGAATGTTATAGAAACCGAAGAGCATTATAAGAGCCGATGGAGATCTATAAGGATTCTGTATCTTACTATGTTTCTCAGCAGTGTAGGTAAGTATTAGAAATTATACATAATTTTAAAAATTTATATAAAATGTCATGTTTAACTTCATTTTTTATTGACATGTAATGTATAAGCAGTAAAACGCAAGAATGTTAATTTGTATAGCTTGATATATTTTAAAGTACTAATATTTTGTATATGTAATTACTAAAAAGTAAAATTTTATGAGGAAAAAATTTTCAAACTATTAACATCTGTATGTCATTAGCATGTTAAAAAGGATAGGGAATGAAAATAAATAAGGTTTATTAATACAGTAATAATTTTTAAAGGAATGTTTGAGGTGATTAATTTTTTTTTCTACGTTTGGACCCTTAAAGTCTATAGGTACTAATTTTTTCTTTTTTTAAAATTGTGCTTTAAGTGAAAGTTTACAATTCAAGTCAGTCTCTCATACAAAAATTTATATTTACATTGTTTTGTGATCCTAGTTGCTCTCCCTATACTAACAACATACTCTTCCTTTCCACCCCTGATTTCCCGTGTCCATTCAACCAGCTCCTGACCCTCTCTGCCTTCTCATCTCGCCTCTGAACAGGAGCTGCCCATTTAGTCTCATGTATCTACTTGAGCTAAGAAGCACACTTCACAAGTGTTATTTTATGTCCCATAGTCCAGTCTAATCTTTGTCTGAAGAGTTGGCCTCGGGAATGGTTTTAGTTTTGGGCTAACAAAGAGTCTGGGGGCCATGTCTTCCAGGGTCCCTCCAGTCTCAGTCAAACCATTAAGCCTGGTCTTTTTACTAGAATGTGAGTTCTGCATCCCACTTTTCTGCTGCTCTGTCAAGGACTCTCTGTTGTGTTCCCTGTCAGGGCGGTCATTGGTGGGAGCTGGGTACCATCTAGTTCTTCTGGTCTCAGGCTGAGGAAGTCTCTGGTTTATGTGGCCCTTTCTGTCTCGGGCTAATACTTTCCTTGTGTCTTTGGTATTCTTCATTCTCCTTTGCTCCAGGTGGCTTGGGACCAGTTGATGCATCTTAGATGGCCACTCACTAGCTTTTAAGACCCCAGACGCCACTCACCAAAGTGGGATGCAGAACATTTTCTTAATAAACTTTGTTATGCCAGTTGGCCTAGATGTCCCCTGAAACCATGGTCCCCAGACCTGAGCCCCTGCTACTCTGTCCCTCGAAGTGTTTGGTTGTATTCAGGAAACTTCTTAGCTTTGGTTTAGTCCAGTTGTGCTGACTTCCCCTGTAGTGTGTGTTGTCCTTCCCTTCACCTAAGATAATTCTTGTCTACTATCTAGTTAGTGAATACCCCCTCTCCCTCCATCCCTGCCCTCATAACCATCAAAGAATGTTTTCTTCTGTGTTTAAACTTTTTCTTGAGTTCTTATAATAGTGGTATATTACAATATTTGTCCTTTTGCGACTGACTAAATTCACTCACAGTAATGTCTTCCAGATTTCTCCATGTTACAAGATGTTTCATGGATTCATCGTTGTTCTTTATCATTGCACAGTATTCCCTTGAATAGGCACTAATTTTTTTTCAATTTTATTTATTTTGTTGTTGTTGAGAATGTACACAGCAAAACAGATACCAGTTTGACACAATTCAGTGTCACTAATTACATTCTTTGAGTTCTGCGACCATTCTAACCCTCCTTTTCTGAGTTGTTCTTCCCCCATTAACATAAACTCACTGCCCCCTAATGTTATTATCTGATCTTTCCAGTTGCTGTTGTTAATTTGATCGCATATAGATAGTTCTTAAAAGAGCATAATGCTGAAGGCAGACATTTCTTACTAGTTAAACTATTGTTTGGCTTTGAGAAGACTTCAGGGGATATTTTTGGTTTAAGGTGTAAGGATTATGCTAAGGCAAGTTTCGGGGGTTCATCCAACTTCCATGACTCCAGAAAGTCTAGAGTCCAAGATAATTATAAATCCTATTCTGCATTTTCCCCCTTTTGATCAGGATTCTTCTGTAGAATCTTTGGTCAAAGTTTTCAGTAATGATAGCTGGGCACTATCAGTTCTTCTGGTCTCATGGCAAAGGAGGCAGTTGTTCATGGAGGCAATTAGCCACACATTCCATTTCCTCCTCAGGTTTCTGACTCTCCTTCGTCCTCTGTTGCTCCAGGAGCATAGATACCAATTGTTGTACAGCCACAAATTTTACAAGTGGTTTCTTTCCCCAAAACGAGTTTAGTGGAGGTCATTTTTCTAAATTGTTTCGTTATTTATTTTCTGTTAGCCTTGTTACTCTTCTGTTTCTCTTACTTGTCAATCTTGTGCATAATTTAACACTGGCTAAAAACACATTTTAAATAAAGCTAAAACTAAAGAAAAGTAGGAGATGAAGGATATTTTCAACAATCATCTATAATATAATTTCATCTTGTATTGTGTATCAATTAGGATGCGTTCTGCAAATATCAGAAAAAGAAGTTGATTCAAATTGGCTTAAGGAGTAATATAATTTATTTATTATAATTGTTTATTATAATATTTCTTCTCAATCACTTTTCTGATGTTGCCTCCTTCTGCAAATTGGCTTCGTCTTTAGGCTATAATGAGATAGCTACAGCACTTCCAGGTCTCACATCCATTCACAGTAACTTCCGTTGACCAAAAGGGACTTTTTTGGTAACCTCTTCAGGGATGAAGAGTCCTCTCCAGAGATCCCCAAGTAGTCCTGCCCTCACTTCTGTTTTGGTCAGAACTGGGCTACCTGTGAATTTCTAAACCTGTCATCAACTAGGATAATGTGATTACCCCAATTGAATTTTTCAGTCTAATCAGGATGTACCCTCTCGAGTTGGCGGTGGGACAATTTCTCCTAAAGCCTGTGGCTTTGTGGTGGAAGGATGGATACCTGAATAAAATTGGAATGCCATTAAGAAGATAAAGGGGGGTAAATGGATGTTGTTAGGTAACAATGTCTGCAATAGATTGGATTTCTTTTTTTTTTTCTTTAAAATATTTCTAAATTTTAATATTATCTAAAATTTATAAGAAACAAGATAAACTTAACAACAAAAAATTAGTTTTAGTTTTGATTTTAATTGGCATATTAAACATCTTACTTGTTTACAAGTTTCTTGATTGCAAAATTGTAGCCTTGATTTCAAATATTAGTTGGCTTTTTCAGTCCTCTTTTCATCAGTGTGCCAATTAAAGATACGTTAAATGGTTACATTAATGGTTGTGGAATGTTTTGGCAAAGGATAGCAAGAATAATGGCATGACATGAAAAATGTAATCAATGTCATTGAATTGTAAATGTGGAAGTCGTGCTGGCAAGTGGTTTTGGTGCGTATGTTTTCACCACAAACAAACAAAAGTATACTAAAATGAAAATACTGATTAAGTTATTTTTGAAATAAGCTTTGTAAAAAGAATGAGGCACTGATACATGCTGCAACATGGATAAACCTTGAGAATATTATGCTAAGTGAAAGAAGCCAGACACAGAAGACCACATATTATACAATTCCATTCATATGAAAGCTCGGAATAGGGAAATCTGTAGAAACAGTAGATTAGTGATTGGAGGTAGGTGGTGGGTGTAGGAGACGGGAGTGATAGCTGAAGGATGGAGCCCTCGTAGCACAGTGGTTAAGAGTTTGGCTGCTAACCAAAAGGTCGGCAGTTCAAATCCACCAGCTGCTCCTTGGAAACCCTGTAGGGCAATTGTACTCTGTCCTATAGGGCTCCTATGAGTCGGAGTCGACTTGACAGCAACGGGTTACAGGGTTTCTTTTTGAAGTAATGAAGATGTTCTAAGGTTGACTGTGGTGATGGTTCCACTTATCTGTGACTATACTAAAAATTATTGAATTGTATACTTTAAATGGGTGCATTGTATGGTATGTGAATTTTATCTTAATAAAACTGTTTAAAAATAATAGACTTTATAGAATTTCTGACTGGATATCCCTAACATCTAAAATTGACAAATAGCATAGGAGTTTATTATTACAGTTCTTAGGCAATAAAGGCTAGCAGAGATAATGAATTTTCTTTTAAGATAGGACCATCTTGAAATGTCCTGGTTCTTTAAAGCCACTGCTCCCTCTAGATGATCATAGTCCTTCTTCCTTGTCTTTCCTGCAGTCAGTTGTCACCCCTAAACAACACAGACTAGAGACCTAGGACTGCCTCTGTAACAAAGTGGCCTTTCCTCTATTCATTTCTGCTGTAAAAAACTAAACAAAACTTGCAGTTATTTTCACTTACAGCAGAGACATGTGACTGAGGAGAAAGGTCTTCTGTTTTTCTTGTATTAATTATGGCCAGGGACTATAATTGTATGTTATTTTCAAGCCTTTAATATTTATTTTCCTTCTGATAAATAAAATCCCATTGCTTGATAAATTAGGCATTTATGTGCATAAATCTGTCAGTTTAGAATGATATTTTAAAATCCATGCTATAGTTCAAAAAATTGTATCTGTATAATAGTGACAAAATTATTATAAGTATAAATAACAGATTTTGCCTCTTACAGGGTTTTCTATCGTGATAATGTCCATATGGCCATATCTGCAAAAGGTTTGTACATTTCTATTTATTCTTAAGTAGCTGTAGTAACAGAAACTCTTATGTAATAAGAGTTTTCTAGAATGTGTCTTTGGTATTTTATTCTATCCTTTTTACTAGAATAACTTGAGATTGTATTTCCTTGAAAGAGGCTTCTAAGTAAGGTGATCCTATGCTTTATTGGGCAAATCAGGACACTTTTAAAGTGGAAGATCTGCTAGACCAGAAAAATAGGGTTATACTAGGACAGTCCCAGGCAAACAGAGATGTATGGTCACCTAATTATAAGCCACTTTTGCATCTCATCGCTACTTCCTCCCTAAAAAAAAGTAAACTACACATAGTCTGGATTCCCAAAATGTGCAAATGATATTTCTAAGGAATAATTACACGCTTTTCCCATAAAATTAACTTGAGGCATCCAGTTACATTGTGAAAAGAATAGATAACACATATGTTTTGATGCTGTGATTATTAGATGGGGAGGAGGGAGTGACAACAAGTTGCAAGTTTGTTGAGTACCTTGACATCAATTGATCATCAAGTCCTGTCAATCTTATCTTAAATATCTGAGAATGAACTTAAGAAAAATTAGTAAGTAAGTTGGAAACTTATTCGTTTAAACAATAAGATTCTTGAAAAGAGTCCCTCTGTACTTCCTGACCTCCTATTCACACCTTAAACTGCTATAATCTGATTAAATCTTTTACTCTGAAACTGCTCTTGTTAAGGTCTCCAATGACTTAATTGCTAACTAGATTGATACGTACAGCCCTTACTTGAGGGGACATTTTGGGGAACATTTGACATTGTTGCCTTCTCTCTACTTAGTGAGTGAAACCCCTTAGCCTCCATGAAATTTCTGTGTCCTGGCTTCCCTCTTAATTCTAACTCCTTTTTCTCAAAAGCTCTCGTGTATTCTTTCTCAACTTGCTCGTTAATTGTTGGCCCTTCCAGAGTTTAATGTGTCTTGTGTGTATCTGTATTTTAGCCTAGATCCTGAGCCTTGGCCCATACTAAATAGTCAACACTTTATCAGATGTCTCCACTTGGATGTACCCAGGCTCCTCAGGTCTTCACACATTCTTCTTTGTTTTTTGGAATGCTTTCCCTCCTTCTGTTGCTCTTTCCCTTCCTTCTTCCCTTTCTCCTTTCTCGCCCACTATGTTTTATTCATCCTTCAAGGCTTAGCTCCCATGTCACCTCAGAAAGCCCTCTCTGACTGTCCCTCACTTCAATTTGGGTTAGAAGGTTCGGTTCTCCTATGTGCTTCCATATCCCTTTATCATTAGCACTTATCAAGGAGTGTTGTAACAATACATTTACAGAGAGTGAACTGAACTCCCCTACTAGATTGTTAGGATGGTCAGATGGTTTCAACAAAAATACTAGACATAGTTGATGAATATTTAGAAAATAAAAATAATGACTATGATATGAGAAGTTTTTTGACATTTTTCATTTTATACTTTTTAGCTTTTGTGAATCTTTTACTTTTCAAAAATGCAATTCTTTACTTCTGAAAGATACTTAAAAAGGAATATAAGAATAAAAAATACAAATTTCACTTTTTACTAACTTAGTGCCATATTCTCATTGCTATTTTGAAAAAAAAAAAAAAACAACTGCCATCAAGTCGATTCTGACTCATAGTGACCTTATAGGACAGAGTAGAACTGCCCCATAGGGTTTCCAAGGAGCAGCTGGTGGATTCAAACTGCTGACCTTTTGGTTAGTAGCTGGACACTTAACCACTTTACCACGTGGGCTCCATAAAAGAGATAGTAGCCTTAAGTTAAGAATTAAAAATTTTATGGTAGTAGGTAACATAGCATCGTAGTTAAGAGTCATATTTGGATTTCAGAAGGACTTGGCTCTGCAATTTTCTAACTGTGTGACCTTGGGCAAGCTACCTAACATCTCTGAACCTCAGTTTCTTCATCTGTCAAACAGGAGTGACAATAACCGTCTCACAGGGTTGTTAAGAAGAACAAAAAATGATGTATGTGAAAGGTTTAGTACTGTCCCTGGGTAAGGGTCTAAAAGTATGGTTTGTGTGTACATTTGTGTGTTTGCATGTGTGCATATGTGTGTGTGGGAGAGAAGAGGCAGACAGACAGGCACAGGGTTAGGGAAGTATTGCTAATTCAGACTGAAGAGATCCTGGAAGACTTGGGAAAATCAGTAACAACTGATGATCAGTTTTCAAGGCCTTCAGAAATTGGCGACCTGAAGAAAAGGTAAGGGCCAGAGAATAGAAAGTTGGGAAGGTATTCTTGGTGGAAGAAGCAGTAGGGGAACCTGTGCAAATGCCAGGAGGCAAGGAAGAACTTGGCTCGTTTTGGAAACTTCAAACAGTTCTAGATGGTGGAAGTTAAAATTGGGGGAGAGTAGGCAGAGAGATGAGGGTAGAGAGCTCACAGTGGCCAGCTTGTGAGCTAATTTTTCATAAGTCATTCAGATTTATCCTGTAAACCACATGATAGAGATAATCAAAGGTAGCCAGAAGGCCGGAAATGAGATGCTGTCATCACTGTCAGAGGGAGAGCAACACACAGAGCACAGATGGTTCAGGTTCTGGAGTGACAGCTTCTGTTGTAGAGGCGCATGCCTCCCAAACCATTTTACTTTACTGTTAAAATTCTACAGATCCAGCTCTCCAGTCCCTGTATAGTATCTAATGAAAATAAAACTTTCCATGGGTCTCTAGCAAATATTGTTGAGTCAGCTCACTTTTGTCCATGATACTTGACTATGATCAATTGATATCCTGAGAAGACACTTTTATCCTTTTACTTTCAAACAACTGTATATTTAACATTAAAATTGGGTTTACACTGCTATTTTGAAAATTTAAAAATTTATATGACATGATGTTATTATTTTATACGCTAACAAGAAGACAAAAGAAATTAAAAATACTACTTAGGGGTAGAGAATGGAAACCAGGATGTCTACAATGAGAGATATTTTAAGTCTAGAACATATGATATATTATTTAATTTGTTCACTCTTTATTTCTCATCCCCAATAAACAAAAAGGTACCTAAATATTTCCATTTTAAGCTATTTTAATGTATCTTCAGGAAACGAAAGGCCACAGTTTTCCTTATTAAGTTATTCTACCACCTACCTATATTTGTCTACACTTATTTTCTAAGATGTAATGGTTCTTATTTTTCCAAACCATTACATAGCCCACCATATTTTAAAAAAAGAAAAAAAAAACTGTTGATTTATTCCACAGTCCCTTTTCTAGGCTAAAATTTTCTATTTTTGAAAAATATTTTATTTTCTGAGTTTTAATCATCATTTGGTTCTCTCTTCAGCCATCATCATTGTATGTAAACACTGTTAAAGTGGTAGAATCTTGAAATATCTATGTAGGAAGGAAGAATAATCAATTTAATGAAAGAATTGCCTTTCAGTTTCTGTGTTTTTATTATCTTCTTTAAGCATTTGACTGTTGTGCCCACTTTAAAAAATAGATTTACAGTGTTAATGGCTGTTTAGCTTATGGGACAGCATAAGTCTAAATAGTTATATTTGTAAGAATTAAATCATGCCTCATATTACTTGTTTATGTTATTGCTGTATGTGGTGTGATTATATTTTCAACAAAGTTTTTATGAACTGTGAATTTCCATAATCTTTCTAAAAGATGAGGCTTCCTAAGCATTTTTTCTTTTACAATGAGTTGTTAGCACATTAATTATAATGCCAGAAGTTTGAATCTCTTACTTATTACTTACAAGTAGTAGTGCTACAAAAGCTATATGTTAGACTTGTTGTTTTTCTTTTTTTTAATAGGAAATGTTACATGGTCAGACAATTGTATTTATGTTTTAAACTTTGCTTTTCTTGAATAACGATTCTTAAAGTATTATACTTTTTCTGCAGATTGATCCGACAGCCGATGCAAGTTTTCTGGGCTGGGTTATTGCTTCATTTAGTATTGGCCAAATGGTAGCTTCACCTATGTTTGGTTTATGGTCTAATTATAGACCAAGAAAAGAACCTCTTTTTGTCTCCATCTTCATTTCGGTGGCAGCCAACTGCCTCTATGCGTATGTCCACGTCCCAGCTTCTCATAATAAGTACTACATGTTGGTTGCTCGTGGCCTGGTGGGATTTGGAGCAGGTAATATGTATGCATGTATATGTTTGATTGTGTTAACTTCACATGCAGCCTGACATTTAAGGCACTCTATCATCTGAACTTGCCCCTCCCCCTCAACCTTATATCCTACAGATCTGTCATTGAAATCAGACAAATATCTTTCCTATCATTTTGCGTTTGCTAATATTCCCATTACCCAGAGTATCTCTCTTCTGTTCCCATCATTGTTCATCCTTCAAGATTCAGTTCAAGTTCCACCTCTTCTATGAAGTTTTCTCAGGTTACTCCACCTCTTAGGGATCTTTCATTTCTCTGGCATGTTCTGGCACTTGCTTATGTACTGTCCTACACAGTTTTTCATCCTTTCTCACTAACTAGATGGTAAACTTTTTGCAATTAGAGACAATTTAGGATACTTTTTTAATAGTCTATGGCCCCTGGCAGTCTCTTAAACATAATAGCTGCTCAATAAATTTTTTCCATTAAATTGTTAGTGGATTTTTTTTTTCTTATATTACAGTTGTATGCATACAGAGTTTGTGACACTTTTCATTTAAAAATAGTTGTAGCAGTAATAGTGTGCCATTCACTCCGTGCTTTCTTAGTATTTAATGATCAAAAAAAGATTGTCATTCCTCTAATGCCATTTCTTCATTCATCCACATCTTGAACTGTGTTTTCATATTACTAAAAGTAATATGTTACAGTAATTGATGCATTTGCTCATTAAAATGATCCTAAGTGCTTTTTATGTTCATAAAGAAGAAGCAGTGATTGTATCATCAACCAATATTTATACTTCCATATAAAGTCAAATTAAATTGATTGTTGTAAACCAAAGGATATTTTCTGTTACTTTGAACTGTTGTGTGTTTTCGTAGGAAATGTGGCAGTTGTTAGATCGTATATTGCTGGTGCTACTTCTCTTCAGGAAAGAACAAGTGCCATGGCAAACACAAGTGCATGTCAAGCATTAGGTTTTATTCTTGGTCCAGGTAGGTATTCTGCACGTGTCATTACTTGAATTTGAACTGGGGAAACTTTCAAGATTCAAATATTAAATGAAATCTAATTATAACACTTTATCAGTAAAGGGAAAATGAGGGAAACTAATATTTTGGGATCTAGCATTTAGGTTCGACTTTTTATATGTCTTAACTCTTTTAAGCTTGACAACAGTTCTCTAAATTAAGTGCTACCAGTCACATTTTACAAATGAAGACACCAGGGCATAGAGAACTTAAGTAAATTGTCCAAGGTAGTTGAGACCTATCTTGTCCGACTCCAAAGTACGTGTTCTGTCAAACAATCATTTAGCTTGCCACTATGCAAGAGTTTACTTTCTTTTTCCTTGTTTATTAGTGATAAAAATCTTTAGTCTGAAGGGTTGAAGTTATAGAAGGCTCTTTATCTTTTTGCCCTTTGTCCATACCTTTAAGACTTCTCTAAGGTCTTCTTCCAATGCGTACTTTTTTTTGTATAAAAAGATGTTATGAGATTTAATACTTCCCAAAGGCTAAGTTATTTTCTGCTAAATTGAGTAGGAAATCAGTAATATTTTTATGTCTGGAATAAATTTAGAAACTAGACGTAATTTTTACAGTTGGTCTATGCCTCAAATATTGCAGTTATGAATATCATCAGTATGAATCTAATTCAGTTAATTTCATCATTAACCCTCCCTCCCATCCCCTGCCAGTTTTTACTGCTTCCTTCTGTTCAACCAAGAAAAGACTCAATAGAAGGGAATCTAGTTTGTTATTCACTAAAATCTAACATTTCAGTTTAGTATTCTGGAATAGGCACAAATGCAGAATAATTGAACCTTACCACCATATTGTAAAATAGACAAGAACATGGTTTAAGTCTTTTTTACTTACTTCTCTACCCCTAGTACCTAGTACAATACTTGGCATAGACTTAGATTCTCAGTAAATATTTTAATCACCTAAAAGACTTTTAAAAAGTGATCTCATTTAAACATTTTGCATCATATATGAGTAAATGTAGGCCAAAAGAGATTATATGACTTTCCCAATAAAAATAACCATGTCAACAAGCACTAACATTTACTGAGTGCTTACTATGCACTAGGTACTGTTCTAAGTGCTTCAGGTGCTATCTCTTACTTAATCTCAACTGAGGTTATATACAAATTATTGGCAGAGCTAGATACAGAATCGAAGACAGGACAGCAAACCAATACTCTTCTAATCTGAGTTTTACCACAGATTCGAATTTAAAAATGACATCAAATATCTATAATTTAGATGACATATACTTTCATATAATGAAATTGATTAATCTTTTCTAATTGATTTATGGAAGAAATTGTATAATTTAAATTTGCTATGGAGTTGTTTTTTTAAAAAATGAAATGTTGACAAGTTATTTAGGGTAGAAATCTTTGTGAATGCATGTAGATGAGTGTTTCTAACCTTTCTTGCATCACTGCCCTCCTAGGGAGACTTTTTAGACATTTGTTTCCTAATTATCCCACACCATGAAATTTTACTACCATAGATACTCTGTGTATCTTTTATGTACTGTATGTAAAGCTGTGCTTTATAAAGGGAGTAATTGTTTTTCATTCTACCCCCTTTGCCCCCCAAGAACCAACTACCTCCCCTTAGCGCTATTCTGCCCCTGTTAAAAATGTATGGTGTAGATGGATGATTCCATAATGCTATTTCTAATTCTATGGTAAACTTCTTTCACATTTTTTCTAGCCTGCCTCATGTATAATAATTCATCTGTATATATTTCATTTTACTAAGTTTTTCAGACTTGTTTTGCACTCATTGGTGAAAAAGGCGTGACATGGGATGCCGTTGATCTGCAGATAAACATGTACACAGCACCAGTTTTACTTGGTGCCTGCCTGGGGGTTTTAAATATTATTCTGATCCTTACTATATTAAGGTAATTAGACAAACAGTAAAATTACTTTTGTAAATTATGAAGTTAAATGAGTATTATCATTGTTGGATGATAATTATCCCTATGAAGTCTTTACTTGGTTTTTGATATCTATAGTTGTGCTAGTATTTTTAATCATATAATGTAGTACTTACAACTAAAATAATAGACAATCTGATGAATGAGAACATATGAAGGTCTTTGAAGATTTGAGATTTAGACTTGATTTACTAACTATAGGTTTCTAAGCAGGGCAATGGCATGAAAACAGCATTTTAAGTAGACTAATGGATCAGTATCAGCCTTAAATAAGTTACTTTTAATGTACATCTCTTATCTTTTATACGGTAGAAAGAATTTTCTAAAACTACCAAAAAAGTTTTGTTACCTTATGTTTCTTCAGAGTGCTTTATCCAAGAGTTCAAAAGCATTTATAACTAATGTTTGAAATGACTGGAAAGCACGTTACTAAGGTAGATCATGTATGCTTTTAGATGAATATTTTAAAAATGTATATGATAATGTGATAAGAATTATAACTTCTGTCTTTTTATTATATTTCACTGATAATAATTTTATTACTCAGAAGCTAGTAAAATTATATCAGAATACGAAAAAATAGAATGCTAGTAATAAATGTAGGCCATTTCTTTATTATACTAAGCCTTTCATAGGTATAATGCTTATAGACAAATGGGTTTATAGAATAATTTATGTTAATCTACATGAACTATAATATAGATACACTATAACACTGAAAATAAGGAATGAGAAAGCAGTAATGTTAATTGAAATACAGTTAAATGTTTCATGTTTTTCTTTTTAAGAGAACATCGTGTGGATGACTCAGGACGACAATGTAAAAGCATTAATTTTGAAGAAGGTACTATTAACCTATTTGACTAAATTATCATAACATTATGAAGATGTTTCTAATGATTCTGTCTGTTTAGCATTTACTTGGATTTTGCTTCTGAAGAAAATATAATGGGTGATTGGGAAAGATCTTCAAAGTTAAAAGTTACCTAAATTGATTTTTTAAAAAATTTTTTTAAAGGCATACCCATATCAGTTATTTGGTGTTCACAGTTGGCAAGGCTAAAAACACTGTTAAATGTCATCCTGTCTTGTTTTCAAAGAGCCAATATTTTAAACCTCTTAAGATCTTTGGAATGATTTCAGTAACTTTGCAACCAAATGTGTCTTTCAAGCAGTTCTTTGATCCCTTCATCATGGGAAAAGGTATGGTTTCTCTCCTATACTTTTATTCTTTTGATACACTTTACAGATGTACATTTGTATCCTCTAGATCTCTCTTTGACTCATAAATTGGTACCCAATTTGGGAAATAGGTATATTTTACCAAATAAACCACTGTTAAAGTACTAATTATGTCCTTCTTGGGGAGCATCTCCCTATACAAGAGATTGCAACTCAGGCCTTACCCTCATGGAGTTCGTAAAGTTGTAGAAAAGACAGTGTTACTTTAACAGGTACTTCCATAGATATTTTATTTAATTCTCACAGCAAAAATAGTAGAAGGAAAGTTAAATGTAGTGGGGTAGAGGACAAAGTGGTGAGGAGCTATAGTAACTTTTTAAACAGAGGAGAGTCACGACAATGGTGAGATTTGATACGAGGCTAATCTGGATGTGTGAAAACCTGAACGAGGGCAGCAACTGAGTATGGAAAAGGGATAAGTATAATTTTCTGAAGGAAAAATCAAGATTCTTGACAGATTAGATAGAGACTATTAAGGATTACAGGGAGTTGTTGAAGATGGGTGCCAGGTTTTGAGTCTAGAGTATTATCAGGAGATAGGAGAACCAGAATAATGCAGTATTAGCCAAGCCAGGCTCAAGGAATAAATACATTGGCAGGTTCAATGATACATACAGGTCCAAGAAAATGAAGATGTTGAATGGCTGACAGATTTGGGGACATTGGTGAAAAGGCCATCAGTGACCCTAGGATAGTAATTTCAGCTGAATAGTGACAGCTGGATGAGATTTACATAGATAAGGGGTGTTGACAACAAACTTCACAGAGAAAAGGACTATTTCAAATGACGATTATTTGGACTATACATTCTTAGTAGGATATAGTCTAAACACAGAAAGAGTGCCAAAGGAATTTAAAACTTAGTAATCTTATTTTTAGTGGTAATATTGATATTGTTATTTTGAAAAATTTTAAGATATATTATAGGGTAAAAGAAATAAGTAATTAACATTGTCAGCAACCAAGATTTTCAGTGTAAGAGAAAAGAGAATCAAATATAAAATGAAAAGTTAAATTTAAACTCTGTAATATAAAGTTTGAAATGAAAATATCAGTCTAAATTTATGACTTTTTTCTTTTTAAAAATATGTATTTTCTAGCGCTGACCACTGAAAAGTTTTAAAGCTTTGAAAACTAGTAATAAAGACTACCACTAATACTCAGATTGTAGTCATAGAATACTATTTCCTAGTAAAGGGAATCATAGCATCATGGAGAAATGGCTTATTTCAGGTCTTTGTACATTCAGTAAATGTACACAGATGAGCCTGGTACATCTTGTTATGCAAGAAGGCAAAAAAGATATTCAGGAAAAATGGAGTTGTGTCAAGAGGACACAAGCCAGGTTGAAAGGGCTTCCACCGGCTAAGATGGGACAATTTGAGTACTGAATGACTACAATTAATGGAAACTTTTGGAACGTATCTATGAGTTAGAAACAATATCCTAAAAAGAGAGCAAACAAAAAAACTTATTGGTCACCCATGGAGGTTTCTAGGGCATATATTATTCTGAAAATCAATTTAAATAACGAGGAATTATCAAACATTTCTTCTGTTTTTCCTATATGAATTATATTTCAGGGTAACCAAATAGTTGATGAGGGAAAGTTCTTTTTTATAGAAGAATTCCAGCCAAAAAATCTTAGAACTAGAAAATAATTTTATAATTTCTAATAAGATAATCGATCTAGGCAGCAAAATTATCTCGTGAACGTTAATGGGAAACTGTATAATGGAGAAATCATCCTGATAATACCTGAACTCACTGATCAATCTTTTTTTTTTTGTTAATTTTATTTTGTTGTTGTTGGAGAGAATATACACAGCACAGCATATACCAATTCAACTGTTTTCTATATGTACAATCAGTGACATTGATTATATTCTTCCAGTTGTGCAACCGTTCTCACCCTCCTTTTCTGAGTTGTTACTCCCCCATTAACATAAAATCACTCCCCCTCAAGTTCCTATCTAATCTTTTGAGTTGCTCTTGTCACTTTGATCCCATATAAATAGTTCCTAAAAGAGAGTAATGCTCAAGGCAGACATTTTTTACTAGTTAAGCTAAATATTGATTTTAAGAAGACTTCAGGGGATATTTTTGGTTTAAGGGTTAAAGAGTATCTCAGGGCAATAGTTCTGGAGTTCATTCAGCCTTCATGGTTCTAGGAAGTCTGGAGTCCATCATAATTTTAAATTCTGTTCTGCATTTCCCCCCTTTTGATCAGGATTCTTCAATCTTAACATCACTAAAGTAGGTAGCCAGACATTATGTGCCTCAGTGTGATGCAATAGGAAGTACACATCACCATATGTGAAATATTCATGCCAAAAATGCTGGACCTAAGTCTATTCAAACCTTTAGATCTAATTTCCAATTTTCAGTGAATATGGGGAGTAGAGGAAGAGGTTAAATAGCACCATGAAGAGCAAGGCTCATTCTACAGGACAGCTGATGTGGTTTCTTTAAGGACATGAAAAAAAGGGAGGTATCTTAGTTACCTAGTGCTACCATAACAGAAATACCACAAGTGGGTGGCTTTAAAAAAGATAAATTTATTTTCTCATAATTCAGGAGGCTAAAAATCCAAATCAGGGTTTTGGCCGTGTTGCTTTTTTCCCTGTTGGTAGCGTTGGGCATTTCTTGTTTCCTTGGTGTTCCCTGCTTTGTAGATGATCCTCACATGGTATTTCTCTTCTCCTGTGTGTCTGTTGCTGTGTCTAGTCTGGATTCTGGTCTTTTCCTAACTCAGAAGTCATTAGGTTTAGTATCTACCCACACTAATATGACCTCTTTAACATAACAAAAGAAACCCCTTATTTCCAAACAGGGTCATATTTACAAGTATAGGAGTTAGGATTTCAACACGTTTTTTGAGGGAAACACAATTTAATCCATAACAGTAGGGAGAGGAGACATTTATAGATTGTAAGAGATAAAGGCAGTGAGTGGATATTGTTTAGGTCTTGATTTGAATAAGTCAACTGTAGTAAGGTATTTTTGAGACAGGGGGACATTCGAATACAGACTAAGTTTTAGATGATATTAGGAAGTTATTAGGACCCCTGGCTGCACAGTGGTTAAGTGATCAACTGGCTAACCAAAAGGTCAGCGATTTGAAACCACCAGCAGCTCCATGAAGAAAAATGTGGCAGTCAGCTTCCATAGAGATTTATAGCCTTGGAAACCCTATGGGGTCACTATGAGTTGGAATTGACGGCAGTGGGGAAGAAAAGAGGGAGTTATTGTTAATTTTGTTAGGTGTGATAATGGTATTGTGGTTGTGTAAGAAAATATTATTTAGAGATACATGCTGAAGTACTTAGGGATGAAATGGTTATGTCAAGGATTTGCTTTACAATATTACAGCAAATCCCTGATATAATACTACAAAGAGAAAATAAGAGAAAGTAAGGAAGGGGTAGATGAATCAAGTATAGCAAATATTTATAACTACTAAATCTAGAGAATGGGTACATGCGGTTATGTTTGAAATCTTTCAAAATAGAAGGTTACAAGAAAAAAAAGAAGAAGAAGAATCAATGATGAGGAAGTACCAGCAGTGGGAATAAACTACTTTTTAAAAGGTGAGAAATAGGATGCTAACTTAAAGGACTCATCAAGTAAGGGAATGAGCAAGTAAAGAGGGTGAAGTTGGGGTGCTGAGAAAGGGAAGATTTGTAAGAAGCAAAATCGTTTAGAAGTTGGAACAGTATAACAATATACAGATCAGTGCTTCTTAAACTTTAATGTGCTTAGGAATCACCTGGGGACCTTGTTAAAAATACAGCTTTGGCCTCAGTAGGTCTCAGTTGAAGCTTAAGTAGGGTTGCCAGATAAAATGCCGGATGATTAGTTAAGTTCGAATTAATTTTTTGGTATAAATATTTCCTACCCAGGTAAAATTTGAATTTCAAACAAACAACAAATAATTTTTTTTTTAGTATAAGTATGTCCTACATATTGCATGGGACAATCTTTTTTTTTTTTTTATAAAAAAGTGTTTAATACAACAGCGTTAAACTTATTACAAAGAAAAGCCTTTTACATAGTTCCAATCTGCTGCATAGCAACTGGTCCGTTTCACTGTATGCCCTTCAATCTTTATGTTTTGTGTACATGTTTATAAGCATGATGTATATTCATTCTTATTTTTAATATTTTTCCCTCCCCATCCAAGTCTTCCTGACACATTCAGTTTGGAGCTCTCTTTTGTGCTTATTCTAGATAACTTAAATTCAGTCCTCATTCTGTGTCTGTGTGTGTGTGTGTGTGTCTGCCGCTCTGTGTGGGAGAGTAATATGTGCTTCTACCTGTCTCTCGGGGTTGGAAGTTAATATGCAAAGCACCTAGTATCTTATTCTTAGGGCTCCACCTCCCAGGTTTGCAGAATCTGTGTTGCTTTCGTTTATCTTCGCCACCTGGGAAGATAAGTATTATTATCCCCATTACAGATGCTCTCAGAGCAGATGGCCTCGGGCCACTAAGCCAGTGAGGGTGGTAAAGCCAGAATTGAATCTAGGTTCCTGACTCCTGTTCCAGTGCTCTTCCTCCTAGCCCATGCTGTGCACACACAGCGTTCCTGGTTTAAATGTGTGG